CCCCAAAACCCCAAAACCCCAAAACCCCAAGAGCTAAAAATTCTGGAAATAATTAAATCATAAAATAAGGAATGAAGTGCTGCTAAATGGCATAATATATATCTTATATTACAAGATTCAAGATCCTAATATCTATTATACTATTATTTTCATTAGATTATGTTAAAAGTTTTGAGAACTGCTCAGACTCTTACTCTAAATAAATAGACTCGCAACATAATTCAGACTCATGCTTCAATGATTCAGAATTACGTAATTAAAAGATTAATTCAGACTCAGTAAGTATTTTAATTGTAAAATTTTGTCTAAATTATAAAGTTAAAATTATTAGATGGAAAATTAAGGAAAACTAAAGCAAATTCAAGTTGCATTCACAGCCAAGGAGCAGCCTGAAGGGGACGGAGCTAGAGTAAGGCGATTCATAGGTGTAAAGCAAGTGCCCACGCTAGACCCATTCTTAATGTTAGATTGGTTCAATGTTAAGCTGCCTGCAGGCTTCCCAGATCACCCCCATAGAGGTTTTGAGACTGTGACTTATCTGATGCAAGGAGAGTTCTTCCATGAGGATTTCAAGGGTCACAAGGGCAAGCTAGGACCAGGAGACATTCAATGGATGACAGCTGGAAAAGGTATAGTACACTCAGAGATGCCAGCTAGTTTCACAGAAGCAGCAATTGGATTTTAGTTGTGGATTAATTTGGATTCCAGCAATAAGTTTTGCAATCCACGTTATTAGGAATTCAAAGCAGAATCGATCCCAGTCTATAAGGACACGTAATTTTAAGCCAAAGTTATTTCTGGTCAGGTCTTTGGAGTCAAGGGCCCCATTGAGGCTAAGACTCCTACTTACTTCTTAGACTTCTTCATGGACAAGGGCAAGATTTACTCACATGCTATCCCAGCTGGCTGGAATGCAATGGTAATTGTACATAATGGGTCTTTGAAAATTTAAGACTCTCCCAACGTTTTAAGCAAAGGTGACTCTGCTTAATTTGTATTGAATGAAAATGAGGAGGAATATTTGAAGTTTGAGTCTATGCAAGATGGTACAGGATTTGTGTTGCTTGCTGGCAAACCAATTAATGAACCAGTAGTCTGGCGCGGTCCATTCGTACTCAACACTCAAGAAGAATTGAAAAAGACATTTAGTGATTATTCAAATGGTAAAAATGGGTTTGAGGGATCGAATACTTGGGAATCAGGAATTAAGGATCTTAAGTTTTAACAGTGAATTTGTATTTTAACTGTATAAAATGTTGTTCAAATTTTATATCTTAACTTGGATTGTGGGGTTTTGGGGTTTTGGGGTTTTGGGGTTTTGGGG